ATAGATAGATAGATAGATAGATAGATAGATAGATAGATAGATAGATACATGCATACATAGATGGATGGATGGAAGGTAGGTAGATAAGGGCTACTCTTGGTATTATTATCTACACCTCATTAGATGCTACTCTGCACTATTTTTGAGCACATTTGCTCTCTCCATGACTTCTCTAGAGCAAGGCCCATATTTTGAGAATGCCTGCATTCCATCACAAATCTCTGCACAAGGATGGCAGCACTACCATACAAGGGTGATGTCATAGAGACGACCACAAACAAGCAGCAGACATTCCTGTTTTAAATCTCGGCTGGTGGATAAATCCTAAAACAGACACCGGGTCTCTCACGGCCGTGTGGATAATAATCTCAGCCATTTGGGCCAAGCGCCTGTTTGTGTAACATTCCATTCTGTGTAAGGTTGCCTTTGCATTTTCGGTTGGGCACAGTACACACTTTCAGGCTAGACTCCAGCCACGGAGATGTCCACAGAACATTCAGGAAGCACACTGTCTAGAGAAAGCCCTGTTCAGTTTACTTCAGCCAGAACCAACAACACTATCATCTGAAACTACCCAATCCAGACACATCCAGACAGTCTAGCAAGACAAACAGGCAGGAAGGGAACAACTTCAGTGCAGGAAAGATTGGAAGACACGTTTTAAAAATATCTGAGCAGGGGCCTGGAGGATGAGGTAAAGCGTCACAGAAAAGCTGGCACCTGAACAGACAAGGTTTTGAAAGATGAATAGGCCTAGGACAATCAGACATGGGATCAAAGGGCATTAAGAATTGTGCAAAACCCTGGCAGAAACACCGCAGGCTGAAAACCATGGAGGAGGGCTGCTATATTTCTCAAGCTTTCCAAGAAAAAAAAAAAAAACAAGCTCTCCAGAAGAGGGTGGAAAGGAGGGAAGTTCCGTGGCTGCCTGTTTGGTTAAACTACTCCGGTCTCTCTCTGCTTTGTTTGGCTCTTTCCGTTTTGTTTCTCTCTTGAGGAAATAAAGTACTGACTGTGGTGGCTTAAAATTTCAGTGGAGAAAAGTCTTTTAACTTTATTATAGAAAACTGAAAAGTGGGCAAGAGTTAACTTTTTTTTAAATTTACATTTCTCTGGATATACAAAAAAAACAAGTTTAAAAATTCAGGTATCACTGCCCTGCCATGATACTAATTCCAACCCTTCTCTTTATCAGCTCCACAAACATTTGTTTTATGCTGTCTGTCAGTTTCGGGGATGCCAGGCCAGTGAGGCAGTCTTTCTACTCGCCTTCGGAGCAAGCTCTTGCATGCAATCAACAGACAAAATAATCAGAGGGCAATCTGCCTCCTTCCTCCCGCAGCTGCCAACCAAAACCTGAAGCTCAGGGCAGAGTTAACCAGCCAATAAACCAGTATGGGTAAAACACACTTAATAACAACTGAGGCGCTAGCAAATTGCTGGAGGCAGTGGGGAAGCGGCCCAGACACCTCTTCCCTTGCTAGGGAGCTTAGAGGGGAACCTCCCCACCAGTGCTCTGGCAGGGTGAACCTGACTGAGAGTGGGAAGAAAGAACGGTGGAAGTTACCTGAGCGCTCAGGTAGATTTTCAGGCACTCCTCGCACACCGCCTTCTTGCAGCACGGGAGGGGCTTGATGGGCTTGTCTTCCAGGCACACCCGGCACATCAGCACCATGAGGGGCGCGTAGGGGTCCCCTACCCCGCCCAGGCCAGAGTAGGGTGGCGCCCCTAGTAGGCCAGGCACGGAGAAGGGCTCCGGAGCCAGGTAGAACTCCAGCTCGATGCTGCCGCCGTCGGGGGAGAGGGGGTCAGCCGCGAGCGAGAGCGGAGAGCTGGGGAAGGAGGACGCCGGGCTGGCGGGAATCGGCCCTGGCAGGGCTCGAGGTGGGGACTCCGGCGACGACTCGGCGGAGGGGGCCTCGGGCAGGTCGCTCTCCACGCAGTACACGGAGCAGAAGACCTGCGGCTTGGCGGGGGGCGGGGGGCGCTGGGCCAGCGCGTCCAGGAGCAGCCCGTCGGGGGGCTGCTGGCCGGGGGGCGCCTCCCGCGGCCCCGCTCCCTCCGGCTCGCGCTCCAGCCGCAGCTGCAGGCTGTGGGGGTCCAGGGGCCCGGCCAGTGGCAGTCCCGCGGGCCGCCCCGCCGTGGCCCGGCGGCTCGCAGGCTCCTGGGCGCTCGCGTCCGCGCAGCCTCCTCCGCCCGGCTCCGAGGAGGCGGCGCGCGGCCCGGCTGCCCCGGTGCGGTCCCCTCGCGGCCTGGGGGACTCGGGCTGGCCCGCCGAGCCCCCGCCGGGGAGCCGCGCCTCCCGGGGCCCGCCGCCGCCGCTCACCGTGCTCTGCTCCTCGCCCATCGCCGCCCGCGGCCCGCGCCGCCGCCGCCCATCCAGCCGCCGGGACCCCCAGCCGGCGCCGGGCAGCGCGGGCAGCGGCTCCGCTCCACTCGCGGCTGCGCTTCTGCTTCCGGGTCCCTCCTCCGGGGCCGGGACGCCCCAAGCTCCCTCCGGGGAGCCCGTGCTCCCGGGCCGCAGCGCGCGGCCAGCCGGCTCCTCCTCCTCCTCCTCGTCGTCGTCCTCCTCCCGCTCGCCGTCCTCCTCCTCCTCCTCCGGCGCGGCCGGGCACCGCCTCGGGGACGCCGAGGGCCTCGGGCTGCGGGTGTCCCGCCCGCATGCAGGTCGGGGCGGTGACGAGGAGTCCCGGTGGGGGCGGGGACGGTCGGGGGGGGGGGGGAGAGGCGACCGTCAGCCCCGCGCCGTCTCTGTCCCCGCGACCCTGTGGCGTCACCGAGAGCTTGTGCCCCCCGCGGGGGAGAGGCGGGAGCCGGCGACCTCCCTCCTTCCCACCTCGTGCTTCACCTAGGGCCCCGCTCCCCCTCCCCCTCCCCCCACCCCTCTGGGCACACCTCCCCACACGTACACACACGCGCGCGCGGGCACCCGCGCACACACACACTGGCACGCACTCCCGGGTGAGTGTGAGCTGGAGCCGAGATGCGCTCTCACGCCTGGAGTTCACCCATGGCCCCGGCCAAACCCCTTTGAAAGCGCCACCAGGCGCCCCTGGGGGCTGGGCTTTGAGTAGAACTTGCTACAAAACTGCTGGAAACCGGGCTCCGGGCTGGAAAACCCCGGGGTGTTAGCGCTCCAGAAGTAGAGGCAGTACCCTGTTCTCTGCCCAGGGCGACAGGAAGGATCTTTGAAAACCACAAGCAGCCCGAAAAGCACTTGTCGCCTACTCCTCCGACTACAGTACTTAGGAGCACCGACGAATAGCTAACCCGAGGCTTATCCCTTTTCCTTGGTTCGGTGTGCTCTCAGGAAGTTGTTTCTGCGGGTTTGGTTTTTGTTGCGGTGGTCAGGTTTTCCTTGTTGTTTGGTCGGTTAGTTGGGTTTTTGGTGTTTGGTTTTTAACCCTTTCAAGTGGGTAGCCCGGCCTAATTGATCAGCTGGATCATTGTCGGGAATCAGGGAGACTTAACCTAACCAAATTCATACCCAAAACTGTTTCCAAGACAACAATTATATTTCAGCCAAAACTTAATTATGTGTTGATCTATCTTTATATTACAGGAAGTATTAGTCACCCAAACACTGGTATGTTTTACTTTTCTAAGCCAATGAAAACATTTTTGCGAAACCAACCGTTTTGTTGTTGTTTTTTTTTTTTTTTCAACTTGGGTGGGAATTCAATTTACACATTTACGTCAAAGGAAGAAACTGTGAAGTGTGTAGATTTTCTTTTTTATCTTGAAGTTGTTATTGAGTTGTTCTAAAATACTTTGCAAGGCATTAAATGCAAATGCTACTAGGTGACTAGGAATTCAATATTCGCGCCGGGCCGCAGAGAAGCAGAACGAAAGGCCTGCACAGCCATCCCAGCGGTTCAGGCTCAGGTACACCTGGGCAGGATGATTTGTATCATTCCCAATTCCCTACCACACACTGGTGTGACCCAAGAATGAAGAATAATTGTTTTGAAGATTAAATGATACTCAAGCAGCCTGGAGAGATAGCTCACTCAATCAAAGCATGGGGACCCAAAAGCAGTCCTCAGTACCAGCCTCAGTAGCCATTGGGAAGCCCAGTCCTGAATGGATGACCACCGAAGAGGGCCCCGCCATTCTCCTGTTCAGATATCCCCCTCTCCTTACCAGGACTTCTTCCTGCTGGATGCTTCCAGCATTTTGGATCATAAGAACATGTTCTTCCCAGTTTCCTCCAGGTAGAAGTTCCCTGCCTAATCCTGGGCCTGGCGCCCCTAGCATTGGGTCTGAGACCCACAGCCTCCCCTCCCCAAACCCCTAGACAAACAAAATACGAATCACAATGCAATGCTATAATGGTGATCCTCTCCTCGCCCAAACTGATGATGCGCCACTAATAATTGTGCTGAGGGAATTTCTTCTTTTTCTTTCCTTTTTTAAGATTGAAAATATAGCTACTGGCTGGGAGGTGGTGGAGCACACCTTTAATCCCCGCGCTTGGGAAGCAGAGGCAGGTAGATCTCTGTGAGGCTGAGGCCAGTTTTGCTACAGACAGAGACTCTGTCTTGAAAAACAAACAAACAACACTAACAAAACCCATGAAAATATAGCTACCAGATAGCAGGAATTCCACAGATATGTTATGAGGTTAATAATGTCCCTGCTCAGACCGTCTACAGACAAGTTGTTACAACACAAATATTATTAATGTCCTTCCTACACCACCTTCAGCTCTCAGCTGAACCGAAGAGCTCCCATAAGAACCTGCCTTTGCTATCCGAACTCACATTCAGAATTCAGTGTCACATCCAGAACGTGGCGACTGCTGCCACCAACGACTTCGTGTTGTCACTGAATGTCTTCTCCCACCCCCTTTCTTATCCTGCCCTGCTTGCTTGGGGCTTCCTTGAAAATTTTTGGCCAGGTATTAGACTATTTTAAAACCTAAAATTAGCTAATTAGAGAAAAAAAAAGATATGATAACTTAGAAATTGAATCACTTTAGTTGTGCCTATAAAAGCTAAAATAAAATTCTCCTCAACTGTTGTGGAGAAAAAATGCATACTATTTAAGTATCATTTATACAATTATATGTAAACAATTATATTTGAAAAATTAGATTTGTCTGTCCGAAGGACAGTCCCTTAGCTATTTAAAGAGGAATAAAGAAACCAATTATTTAACTAAACTGTGTAACCTGAAGAGGCTGAAGAAGGCTTCTCAGCCACGCAGCTGACTCTGCAACCTCCTCAGCTATTTTTCTGCTCTTCGTCAGCAGAGGAAGAGAACTTGGAATCATGAAGAAAGGGGGCATTGAGTGCTTAAGAGAATAAAATAGCGTTGTCCTCTTTTCCCACCTAAACCCCTTAAGAAAAATTCAAGGAGGAAGATTTATGAAAAAGTTAACAAGAAAAACCAAACATTGTTGTCTCTTCAAAAACAAAGTAAAGTAACAGAAGGCATGACCAGATCCTTGAAAAGCAGAAGAAGCCGGGAAGAAGAAGAAAGAAGGGAAAGGGAGAAAGAGAGAGAAGGTAGGGAAAGGACGGTGTGTCTGTGCAGTAAAAGCTGGTCACCAATTCTCACAAGCCCAAATAACCATTTAAATAACTTTAACACATTGGTGTGCAGTGTTCTTTTATTGGCTTCTGTGTCTATAAAAAATATGTGGGGTGGGGGAAGCTAGAGAGACGGCTCAGTAGCTAAGAGCACTGGCTGCTTTTGAAGAGGATTCCGTTTCCAGCACCCACATACTGGCTCACAACTGGCTGGTGTAACTTCAGTTTCAGAGTGTCTACACTCTCTCCTGGCACTGGGTACATACTTGGTACACATTTATATAAGCAGACAAAACACTCATGCATATAAAAATAAATATTTTAATTAAAATTATATATATGAAATTGCAGGATTTTTTTTTTTTGCTTCTGTGTCTTTATTACGTAAGGATCCATCCTGAACACATTGTGTACCACTGCATGTGTAAGTCATATGATTTGGTGTATTTAATACCTTTCTGTGTATACCCTATGTATTATGATGTATCAAAATAGGTAATTTATGATCTCAATAAATATATCATGTTTATAATTTTAGTATCTTTTTAACATTTAATGTAACTTTTCTATACATTCCTAATAGAGTATACCAAAAAGCCCTAAGAATTAAATTGCTACTGAAAACAGTAACAACATTTTGAAGGTTTATGTCACACATTATCAAAAAATATTTAGCACCAATTTATATTCTCTTTATCATGGTGGGTATAAGATAATCCCCTTCTTTAATCAGTTGAAGGATGATTTACTATTTACCATCACAAATTTAATTTGGGGGTATGTTTTTTTAGGAAAATATCCCTATAGTAAAAGAAAGAAGAGAAAGAAATCCTATGGTAACTGGCAAGCCCCATCTAGCTTCACATCTTTAAGTCGGCATGTTGTGGCTCTCCATCCCTGACTTTAGGGTCCTGATGGTGTCTTGGCCACTTTCTATTGCTGTGAAGAGACACCATGAATAAGCCAACTCTTATAAAAGAAAGCACTGGGATGCTTTGCCTTATCTCAAAGATTCCCTTAGTAGCCTTGTGAATTACAATACTGCACAAAAGAGAAGCTGATTGGCCTTTATAGGTTCTCATTTCCCTTTTTCATCCCAAGCAGAAAGGTGTCACTGGGAAGATAGGGCACCTGCCAACTGAAGATAAAGACAGAAAAATATGAAGGGAAAATGAATTACTTGGTTCTTGTCATAAAAAAAAAAAAAATTCATTTTCTCGGATGGCCTAGATAAGAAACTTTTTCATTCCTGATATTTTGTCTATTTGAGATTAGTTATGATCATTTGCTTGACAAAATCTAGCAAGAGGATTAAATGGCTCTGAAAGTTTTTAAAGCCAGCAGCTTAAGCCATTCAGCTATATTTATTCTAAAATTATGGCAAATAATTTTAGCTATTTATCTCTTAACACACTGCTACCAAGTTGGAATGGGAAAGACCCAGCTGCCTTTGGGGGACGTTAAATGCCACAAGCTGTTTCTCAAATACTGTGGCATCAATATAGCTCAAAATATTTTCTCAAATACTTTTATTTAAATTTCTCAATATGCAAGTATCAAAAACAGCTTGTTATTCACACATTCGTGACTCATTTACATTTTCTGGTATTTATATGACTCTGATGAACTTTGGGGGAATCATTTATGTTCCATAATCCTTTGGTACTTGGAAAAGTACCAAGATGGAAGGTTTTTCCGGAGCCCGGTCCTGTTTTGTATTGAGTGCCAATTTGTTTGTATACCTCAGGCCTCAGTTTTCACTCCTGAAAAAAGGGCAGATCTAACTGAATGGTTCTAGAGCTCATCTTATTACTAAAATTATAATTTACTGTTCGATTAACATGCTCATATGTCTTGTGTGCATAAAGTCTTGATATGCATAGATAGGGCTTATACTTAGTGACTGTAGTCCCATCAGACTCCTGAAGAATCTTGCCATTAAGTAGA